TCTCTCCTCTCTCTCTCTCACTTTCTCTTATCTCTCTCTCTCTCTCTCACTTTCTCTTATCTCTCTCTCTCTCTCTCTCTCTCACTTCTCTTATCTCTCTCTCCTCTCTCTCACTTTCTCTTATCTCTCTCTCTCTCTAACTTTCTCTTATCTCTCTCTCTCTCTCTCACTTCTCTCTATCTCCTCTCTCTCACTTTATCTAATCTCTCTCTCTCTCTCTCTCACTTTCTCTTATCTCTCTCTCTCTCTCTCACTTTCTCTTATCTCTCTCTCTCTTCTCTCTCTCTCTCACTTTCTCTTATCTCTCTCTCTCTCTCTCACTTTCTCTTATCTCTCTCTCTCTCTCTCTCACTCTCTCTATCTCTCTCTCTCTCCACTTTATTAATCTCTCTCTCTCTCTCTCTCTCTCACTTTCTCTTATCTCTCTCTCTCTTCTCTTATCTCTCTCTCTCTTCTCTTATCTCTCTCTCTCTTTCTCTTATCTCTCTCTCTTTCTCTTATCTCTCTCGCTCTCTTGCTCTTATCTCTCTTTCTTTCTCTTATCTCTCTCTCTTTCTCTTATCTCTCTTGCTCTCTTTCTCTTATCTCTCTCGCTCTCTTTCTCTTATCTCTCTCGCTCTCTTTCTCTTATCTCTCTCGCTTCTCGCTCTCTTATCTCTCTCTCTCTCGCTCTCTTATCTCTCTCTCTCTCGCTCTCTTATCTATCTTCTCTCTTTCTCTTGTCTCTCTTCTCTTCTCTTATCTCTCTCGCTCTCTTTCTCTTATCTCTCTCTCTGTCTCTCTCTTTCTTTTATCTCTCTCTCTCACTCTCTCTCTCTCTTTCTTTTATCTCTCTCTCTCTTTCTCTTATCTCTCTCGCTCTTTCTCTTATCTCTCTCGCTCTTTCTCTTATCTCTCTCGCTCTCTTTCTCTTATCTCTCTTCTCTTTCTTTTATCTCTCTCTCTCTTTCTTTTATCTCTCTCTCTTTCTTTTATCTCTCTCTGTCTCTCTCTTTCTTTTATCTCTCTCTCTCTCTCTCTTTCTTTTATCTCTCTCTCTTTCTCTTATCTCTCTCGCTCTCTTTCTCTTATCTCTCGCTCTCTTTTTTTATCTCTCTCTCTCTCTCTTTCTTTTATCTCTCTCTCTCTCTCTTTCTTTTATCTCTCTCTCTCTCTCTTTCTTTTATCTCTCTCTCTCTCTCTTTCTTTTATCTCTCTCTCTCTCTCTTTCTTTTATCTCTCTCTCTCTCTCTTTCTTTTATCTCTCTCTCTCTCTTTCTCTTATCTCTCTCTCTTTCTCTTATCTCTCTCTTTCTCTTATCTCTCTCTCTCTCTCTTTCTCTTATCTCTCTCTCTTTCTCTTATCTCTCTCTCTCTTTCTCTTATCTTTCTCTCTCTCTTATCTCTCTATTTCTCTTATCTCTCGCTCTCTCTCTCTTTCTCTTATCTCTCGCTCTCTCTCTCTTTCTCTTATCTCTCGCTCTCTCTCTCTTTCTCTTATCTCTCGCTCTCTCTTTCTTTCTCTTATCTCTCGCTCTCTCTCTCTTATCTCTCTCTCTCTCTCTCTCTTTCAATTATCTCTCTCTCTCTCTTTCTATTATCTCTCTCTCTCTCTCTTTCTTTCTCTTTGCTCTCTCTCTCTCTCTCTTTCTATTATCACTCTCTCTCTTTCTATTATCTCTCTCTTTCTCTTATCTCTCTGTCTCTTTCTCTTCTCTCTCTCTTTCTCTCATCTCTCTCTCTCTCTTTCTCTCATCTCTCTCTCTCTTTCTTTCATCTCTCTCTCTCTCTCTTTTTCTCATCTCTCTCTCTCTCTCTCTTTCTCTCATCTCTCTCTCTTTTTCTCATCTATCTCTCTCTTTCTCTCATCTCTCTCTCTTTCTCTCATCCCTCTCTCTCTTTCTCTCATCCCTCTCTCTCTCTCTCTTTCTCTCATCTCTCTCTCTCTCTCTCTCTCTTTCTCACATCTCTCTCTCTCTCTCTCTTATCTTTTTCCTCTCTCTCTCCTTTATCTTTCTTGCTTTCTCTCTTATCTTTTTTTCTCTCTGTCCCCCTTTCTCTCCTACTATATCTCTCTATATATATTTCTCATTTGATCTGTCTCTCTCTCCCCTTTCTCAATATTTCTCTTTCCCTCTTTCTATCAATCTTTCTCTCTCCCTTTCCATTTCCAATTTTTGACTACTCAGGTATTGAGTAGTCATATAAAATAATAATCTCAAACCTATGCAATTCTACTTTATAATTTATCACTTTTAATAACTTACCTAAAGAACTAGCCCCAAGAAGCACAGAGTACCAATTAAGTTCGAGCAGTATCAGACATCCTATACTAAGCTGTAAGCTCAGGAAAACCAATGCATCAAACAAGGTGAGTGCTCCACTAGCAAGAGGACGTGCAGCAGTTCTGGCAACCTGTAAAGAGAAAACATATTTCATTTTTAAAAATAACCAAAAATAAGTGAAACTGCTCCTTACAATACAACATATTCTCAACAACTGTTAAAATAGGCTTCCATTT